GATTGGGAGACACTAGGTGCTAGGGCGTCCTAATTCACCTGGAGCCTCGGGCCATCCCGGGCCTCTTATCCTAGCAAGGTTCAAACCTTGGACCTGCTTGTGTTTAATGCAAACATGAGGGCTGCTCTCGATCTCCTTCACGTTGTGCAGCGGCAGCCTTGCCCCCATTTGCTCAATGCTCAACATGACCAACCAAGAACGGTGGTAGCTCGGGACGATTCCCCTTGCCACAACTTCAGCATGACTTTAGCTTTTCTTTGGAATAACGGCGTTCATAGGCATATTATGTCAGCCGTGCCTTTGCTGAAAGGTGTCGGCCGGAAACTCGTCAGAGGGAAGGACTCGCCCTTCTCAGGGCCGACTCCCCAGGAGCACAAAGACCTCATGGACAACGTGACCTTGATGCCAGGGAAAACCTACACCCTCTGCTTCTGGGGGCCTTCGCGGTTTATGGACATGATCAACTGGACCGTCATAGGCGGGTCGGAGGAATTTGGGGTCCGAATTGCCAAAGGTTGCTCACTTGGACTTCTGAGGCTTTTCCTTTGGGCCTTTATCAGTTTCACAGACGTGTGAGTGAGACCTTGCAGGCCGAAGATGCGCGTTCTAAGAGGGAACCTCTGCTTGATGGGTTGTGTTTGGGGAGTGTTGCTGCCGTGCTGGGGCTGACCCTTGCGATGCTGAAGATACGACAGACACTCCGGCGTGTAGCTGCCATTGTCAGCCCTGGTTGACCGTGAGGGGGGCAAGTTGGCCGTTTGACGCCCACTTTGGACTCCAGTAAACTTCAGACAAATCCGAGGGCGGTTCTTTTTCAGGAAAGCGGCCAATGTATCACCTTTGAGGAATTTCAGCGTCCGCCTTACATTGGTGTGAAGTAAACCTGCGCGAAGGTGTCCCGGTCTTTACGCCCTGCGACTTCAACCTCTTAGTTGGCCTGCCGCCTTTGCACATGGTGCTCTACACCCTCGACGACAGCGAGGAGAAACGGCACCTGCAATCCAGGCGAGGCAAAGCACAGCTCAAAGTGATGGATCCCCCGACTTTTTGAACGAATGGAAGGAGGGCATACCCCCCATGAACCCATCCCCTGTTACGCCCGTGCATGCTACTTGTCCACACAAAATGCCGGCACACGACTTTTTCCGGGATATGAGAGCCACGTGCTCTCAAGCCAGCGATTTTGGAGGGCTGGCTCTGTGGCCAAGGAACACCCGGGTTTTAGTCCTTGGTTCTATTTACATCTATTTACCAAGTTTCCATTGTGTGTACCTATTGTTGACCCGCACCCAAATGATAAACTAAGAAAATGGAGAGCATCCTTGGTTTTGGACTGAAGGTTGACCAATGTTTGACCAGGAAGAAGTACTTCTTCCGGTGTGCCTTCTGGAGTTCGCTGAAGCGTCCCAGCGCTAATGTCGTGAAGCGCTATGCGGGCGCCTCCCTGGATAAGCTAAAGGAGGCGCGGGGGGTGGGGGGGCGGGGTGGGGTTGTGAGGGTTGAGGGTTGTGAGGGTTGGGGGGGTTGGGGTTGGGGTGGGGGGTTGGGGGGGTGGGGGGTTGCAGGGGTGGGGGGTTCGGGGGGGGGTTGCGGGGGGGGGGGGTTTGGGGGGGGGTCAAGGGGTTGGTCGGGCGAAATCGGTGGACCCCCCGAAAATACCCCAAAATGAAAGTGTGCGAGCGGAGGTTGCAGTCACCCAGCCAATGGACACGTGCACTTCTTTGCTTGGTAGGATCCCCTTGGTCGATTTCTGGCCTTAATAGCATCATTCACCCAGTTGCATGCGTCGTGGGTGTGGTGTTCGGTTCTGGGGTTATTGGCATAAGTCAGGTTTTTGTTCGTCATTTGTGGAGGCCCACGTTATATCGCCGTATCGCAGCTTCGGCCTGGGCAGGCAGAAAATGCCCATCGCCGCAGGGAGTCCGTAGCTACGAATGGCTTCTCCAGGCTCAATGTCTTCCAGTGCTGTACCTGAGGGCCTGCTCCCGGGTGCGGAGGAAAAATAACACAATCAACCAAGCATAAAATGCCACCACCACATAATCTGAGTCCCCTAAAGAAAGAGCCACGGATCCTGGATGTGCTGAAACCATTTCGATCTATGCGTTCTGCGGGGATGCCGTTCCGGGTTGAAGGACCGCAAGGCACCAAGATTGAATGCGCGGATGACCCCACCACCACGCCACGTTCACGGCCGGAAGAGGTCAAAGAAGACCCTCCTGGGAAGCTTGAGGCCCATTGTGCTTCATCTTGCTCCAGTGGATGGGACATGCTGCAACAGTTTTTGCTGACTTGGCCAAGTGGAGCGGTGCCCCAGCCCCTGAATGGGGCTCTTTCTGGAATCTGTTTGGAATTTGTGACGCGGTTCAAGGTCACCAAATAGGCGCCACTCAATATTTGCCAGAATCCAACATATCATGTTGGGTTCCGGATGTTGCGGGAAAGAAATGGCAGCCCAGCGCTGGGTTTGAAGGGAGGTTTGAGTAAACCTTTCACCGGGGAAGCCACTGGCCAGAGACCTAATTAAGCAGCCTTGATCCTTGAGAGGGCTGTCAGCTCCCACAATCCCCACTGAACTACTCCAGGCAAGGCCCGGAAACGCCTGGTGCGTGATCCCATGACCATATGGCGCGATAGGCGAAGGTAAAGTCGGGCGAAAAGCTTGGGCCTCATTGTTGGGGAATTGCAGTGACATGGTTGGTGCGTCAAGGTGATCCCGCCCATGTTGACTGCCCGCATGTTGGGTCGACTCATGTACGCTGCACCAACAAGGCAGACAGGCAACTACTTCAACAGCCACATGTTGTTGGCTGCTTCTCGGTCGGATGCTTATGTCGTAGCCTTTGCCAGGGCAAAGAACGGCTTTCCCAATTGCAAGTAAGTGCTAAACTTGTTGTGCAGCGGGCACGACGCAATGCGTTCAACACAGTTGTTTGTAATTGAGGCGTATTTGGCCGGCGCATTCAGTCGCACACTTTGCCAAGTCAGCCCGGCCAGACTGAAGCGTCGGGGCGGATGCACGGCGACAAGAGTTCAGCTGCCCAACGGCATTGAATTGCCAAAACAAGCTCCTCTCCAATCAGCTTGCTTGAAGGCAAACAACTGCCGCGCCAGGATCTTGATGCTTGTTGCTTGGTGTTGCATCTGGGTTGATGTCCATTACTATGTATTCCCCCTTGTAGATCGCTCAAGCCGTCTCAAGCCGGTATGCGTTCGATTGTTCAGGCGCTCTAGGAAACATGGTCTTGCGCTACAAGCCTTCAATGGGGTGGGCCCCCAGAGAAACAGGCGATCCCGTCTCCTGGACGAAAATACGAGTGGGCGGCTGACTGGTCGCGGATTGTTCCCGGCTTCGTTTGAAGCCTGGTGCAGGTTTGGCCAGACCTTTTGGCCTTCCTGCGCCCGGCTTTTTCCCGCGGGAGCGACCCTGCTTAATGAGCAGGGCAGGGGCAAAATACCCCCAGTTCGTGGCCAAAGCTGTGGTGGCACAGTTTATGATGGCATAGGCATAGGCGGGGGGGGGGGGGGTTCGGGACGCTGCACCATATATGGATTACGAGTGTTTTCCGAGGGTACCCTTCTTATGGGCTTCTGTTGAAGGGAAACCAACATTGGCCGTTCAGCCAATGTAGTAGCCCAGTGCCCTGCCCTGAAGCGCCATAAAGCGAGCAGCTTTGGGCGCCGGCGCCGCCGATGGGGATGCAGAAAAACAGCTCGGCCGCTTCCTGCTAAATTGAATTGCGGACCCCGCCCCTTTGCTTGCTATTCAAAGGGGCGCCAGAAAGGAAAACTTGCATTTTTGGGAGCCACATCCTGCCCGACTGCAGGTACCCGAAATTTGGGGTGCTGCTTTCTTGACCTTTCCCCGCAGGATATTTGGAGCATTGTAGCCGGGGGGTTTTGTGGCTGCCCAGCACAGCATGGTTTCTTCCGCACTCAGTGACCTGCCTGCCAACCTGATAGCTGCAGGATCGCTGAGGCTGGCGCGCGGGGGGGGGGGAGGTGGGGACGGTGCGGTGGCAGTTCCAGCGATGAAGGAGATTTGCAATGGGCTTCTAAAATGCTGAGATGGTGGTGCGGTCAAGGGGTGGTTTGTTTGGGCAGATTTACTCAACTCGAAGAGGTAGATGTTCCGGGCAGTGCTATTTGGTGTTTTGCTCAGTTTGAAACTGTGAGCAAGACAATGACAAGGTGACTCCAGCCCCCATTCCCGCACGTCTGTCCAGTTCAAGTATGATCTTTCTCAGGTTGGCCCAATCCGATATTTCGGAGACGCTTTTCAACTGCAAGTATGACAATGTCACGTTTTCAGATGTTATTTTTGCTCGTGTTGTGCAGCCGCTAGCGCGGCACCCACACGAACGCGCACACGCACCCCCACTCCCACCCCCACCCCACCCACCCCACACACCCACACACCCATACACCCACACCCCAAAAAGACGCACACGCGTGATTCACATCATGATGGTGTTCTTGGGGATGCTTTCGATCCCCAGCTAGCGCATCAGTCAATTCAATATCACCTTCGACTGGCACAGCCAGTCTTTCTGACGGTAGTATCTTCAGGAGCGACACCTGGGGCTATGCATATATTGCGTTCATTCACGTACAAGGATGCTACCTCATGAGTCTCGTGTGAGCCTGGTCTCCAAGGAAGGGTTCCAAGGAACTGGCGCTCCATTTGATTTGGAGGGTGCTACCGTTACCTGCTGATGTCGAAACACACCATCCCCGCTGATTAGTTGACATCCCCCAGTTTAGAGGTATACAAAGTAGCCTCATCTTCTTATTTCAGCTTGGTAAGTCATAGCTCATCTGACTAGTTGGTCCTTAGTTATTTCCTTTTCTCACTCCCTGACTAAACTCTTTTGTGAAGGCAATTTTAGTGGCAAAAGCAACTCGGACTGTTCTTGGCCGGTCAACTCAGGAAGGTGCTTTTTGTGATCAAAGCATCGCCTTCGTTCGCCCCAAAGAAAAACACGTCCTCCTCAACCGAGTCAGCTTTCTGAGGCGGGGAAGTTCCCAAGACGATGGCTGCGCCATGACAAGGCGGGCACCAGCTGCCTGGAAAGTTGTGTTGGCCGGGGTTTTGCCAGCACTGTTCAGGTACCTCCACAAACCAACATGGAACCCAGAAAAGGGGTCCCCCAAAGGAAGATGGGAGAGTGCTCCCGTATGGTTCTGATAGAAACTCCATGGAAGTTCAACCAGGTTTGCGGACACAATGCTAGAAACCTTCGTCATGAAGAGGGGAAGAGGCTGTTGGAGACGGGGCTACGCGGCTACCTTGTGAGTCATTTGCCAGTTCCCTTCACGAGAAACATGCAGCTCAAGACTCGCTTGATTCTGTCAGGTGCCTACGCCCCGGCGCAACACGGCACTGGATGCCCTGCCTCCGTTGCCGGCGCCGCGGCAAGATCCAACGGGCTCAGTACATGCTCTTAACAGCGAAGCGTTTAACCTACACCAACCCAAAGCCCACTATATAGTAAGCCCTCTATGCCCTGAAGAACTCCAAGCCAAAACCAATCCAGACGAACCGGCTTTGGGTCGGAGCATCCCCTCACCCGCAGTTTTGCAGGCATGTTGCGCAGCCGTTTTGTGAAAAACAAGGTCTGGTTGGCAACGTAGAGTCAACTGAGAAAGCAAATCGATGTAACATCTTTGCTGGTCCCAGTTTCACTTTCAGCCACGGGCCAACCCTCCAACCATGTGGACAGGAATCGGAACCCTTTTCATTTTCCAAGATGGTCTTCCAACGCCTTTCTGTCCACTTCCTGGAAAGACGGCCATCTTCAAGGTTCAAAGGCCAGGGAAGGGGCCGTGCTCTTGGCTTTCGTCGGGCCAGTGAAACTAAATCAGCTTGCGCTCTTTTCCGCAGGCAAGCGACAGGTCAGCGACTAGGTCCCCCAGCAATTGGTGTTCTTTTACCGTTTCTTTTTTGGGGGAGGGTTCCCCTACTAAAATAGACTACAGAAAGAATATCGGGTTATTCTAACCTCTCTACTGGAGGACCTGGGCTAGTAAAAGAGATGCCGCTGACTTCGCGGACGCCGTGTTGGCATTTTTGGCCAATGGAGTGAAGGTGGCTCTTCACGGCGCTAGTCAAGGGCCAGTCATAACTAACTACTTAGCAAGCCGTAACCAACGGGAAAAGCAAATAAGCTAAGGATTCATACCAAGGGTGCATATATGGACATATCCACCCCGCCTGACGCAAGGCAAAGCCGCAAGAGATTTGAGAACCGGGCTTCCGAAAATGATTTGGAGCCCGGTTTGGAGTTTGCAAGCCTCCAATTCACCAACGAGAACCAGGAGTTCAAATCCCAACCACTAACTCACGAGAACCTGATCGATCAGTTTTCTCGAATTGGTGGCTTCAGGTGGTTTCCCATTCACCCCCTCACAAGAACCAGGGCTTCAATCCCCACCAACCAAGGGCAACCTGAGGCCAAAGAAACAACTCGCGGATGGCCTCAGCCCACAAACCAGGGCACATGTTTGGGTAGTTGATGTAAAAAGGAAACGTCTCCCCCGACGAAAAAGCGAAAAGGACACCACAAGGGCTGCGGGACAGATGACAACCTCCCCAACTCAAACCCCAAAGCCGGCAAGCTGTCCGTGGCCAAATGATCCGTATGAACCCCTACTGCAGTGGTTATTTTACCGTTCATTGAGGGGCTTCATGGGGTCCCAGCCTCTAAATGGTTCCCAAATAGACACCCTCTCTATGGACGCGTGCAACCAGGCTTTGACTGAAGAATCGCGCGGCACATTTGAGGCGGGATTTCCCACATCCAGGTCCTGTTTTTGTTTTTACCCGTTCACTGGCTCTGAGTATTTCTTGAAGCTTGGGAAAAACCGTCGCCCGAGCCCGGTGCAAGGTGTCTGCCCGAGAGAAGCTGCGTGACTCGACTTGGCAGAGCCTGGCGGAGTCGATAGTCTGGGGGCAAAATACCTTAGCTGCCTTGGGGACCTTGGGGGGCTCCCTGGCACATGGGCTATCATTTGAGGGACTTGCGGAGCAGTGCCGTTGACCCGACAGTGGAGGGACTGCTCGGGCCGCAGAGAAGTTTACTTCTCTGTAGGTCGCCCTCCAATCCAATCCAATCCAATCATTTGAGGGACGTTCTGCAACCCCTGCAGTTGTCCAGGAGGAAAAATAGGCGGAAGGGATTTCACGTGTCTCTTCGCATGCTCATGTGAACCTGATTTTTTTGGGTTTAGTGGGGCTCTGGACCGCTTTGGCTAAAATTCGCTGCACGGTGCCGTTTGGAAGATTTCATGCTGATTCCTGGCCAAACCAGCGGCTGCACGTAAGCGGGTTAGCTAGGCGCTATGGCTATTTGGTACAGGACATCTTTGGACTTTAACTGCTTGGCTGAAATAGTGGGTTTTCCATTGGACCCACAGCAAGTTAATCTTTTGTGGAGGGGTCAGCAGCAGCCAAGGAATAGTAAATTATTGAACAAGCGTGTCATATTTGAGGTATCCCTCGGTCCTGCACTAGGCGCGTTCTCGTTCTTGCCGGCAGGTCCGATACTTTGCCATGTAGCGTCTTGCGGGGAAAGTGGCTGAGCACAGCGCAAGCACTGCGTGCATGAGCCTTTTCTGGGGCACTCAGCGCGGAAGTGTGCGAACATACAATTGAACCATTGTAAGCTGCTGGACCAGACGCTTTGGCTAGGCCTTCTTGAGTACAATCAAAAGAAGGCCGGCTTATCTTTTCCGCATGTCCGCTTTTTAGGAAAGCCGCCTTTTATTACATTAGGTGGTTCACCCCGAAGATGGCTTGTTGCGCTGCTACAGGCAAAAAAGAACATTTTTGAAGGTTACCCTCTGACGCCTGATGTAGAGGGAGGGTGTGTTTTATAGTAGAAGGTTCCATGTCGCCTCCCGGCGCGTGAGTGGGAGGAAGGCAAGGCGGGGCTTTTGGCTCTCACATTGGCACTCGCATGCGCTCGCACCCAGGCCCAAGCTACGTTGACAAGCGCGGTGGTTGCTTGGCCTGAGCTGATTGATATCGACGCTGGCTTGCTTGTTGAAAAGAGGGTGTTCTGGCCAGTTTTGTCCTGCTGACGGTCTTTGCTGGCCGTCCCCAACCTGATGTGTTTTTATTGTTTCTTTCAGGCATTTGTTTGTTTCCAGATTTCCTGAACAAGTGTGACACCGTCCTGCAGAATAACATGGAACACAACAAGCCACCATACTGATGAATGTCCTGTCCATCTGGTCGAGTGGTAAAATAGTAACCCTGGCGTGTTTCTCAACAAATCCTATTCCTTATGCCAAATGGTAGTGGCTTCCTTTGTTGTACTGGCGTCCTACAGGTCAAGTGCGGATTAAGATTCGGAATGCCCCGTCCATTCACCCTGACATTCCATTTGCCAGTATGCTAGGCAACCAAAGGAACTGCCCTTGAAACAGCAAAAAGGAGAGTTGCAGGCGACCTGCTTCCTGTAGTAAGCGCGATCCACTGGGTCATGTATCACCGGAGGGCCCTCATCTAAAGACCAGTTCGGCCCGGAAGACGAGGCTTGCCCGCCCAGCCGCTGAACTTGATGGAGTATTTCCCCGCCAGCAAGCGCCGCATCGATGGCAGCCTCTGAGCTGAGCGGGAGCAAGCGCTCTGAGCCCGAGCCACACCTGTCGAAAGGGGCGCAAAATAGGTGTCTCTTCGTTGTTGGGGGTGAGGCGCCTTACCCTAAATGTGTCTCTCCTCATTGTTCGGGGACCCCAAATCTTCGTCTTTAGCGGCACAGTTTTAGGGAAACCCACAGGAAGCTAATCGTCTTGGTGCCCAATTTTGAGAACCCAAATTCGTTCCAGCTTGCACCAAAGTTTGTTGGAATCCATTCAGTGGCACCCCTGTTCTGGGATCCCTGTTGATATGATTCCAATGTTGAACAAATTGGTTTAAACATTCAAGAAGCCAGGCTGAACAAAAGTAAACGGGGTACAGAATATTGCCCTGATTTGGAAGGTGTGATTCTTCGTTGGGGGCCGAAGCTGTGGTAGCGGTAGTGTCCATGAGTTGAGCCTCGGACCAAGTTGCAGAGTCTATGGAGTATCCGCCGGGGACGAACAGGGTGAGACTACCAAACCCCAAACTATACTAACCTTTCCCCTTGTCCAACCATCTCCCAGATTCAATCGAAGTGGGAGGGGGCTACCCAAATGAACCGTCAGTAGCAAGTAGCCCAGCCTTTGCTCAGTTCCTCCTTGTTTTGGCCTACCATTTTAACGACCTCCGTTCAAAGGGGAATTGCGGACATGCTTCTAGTTACCAGCAGCCAAGGGCTGACTTTGATCATAGGAAACTCTCTCCAGGTCCAAGATGACAGTAAAAAACCGCCCATCTTGGGGATGCAGATTCCTTCCCAGGGAGCAGGTGTGGTGCCAGCTGCGTTTCACTGGGAGCAGAAGACCTGCTCCACCAATTTCGCCTCACCTGGAGCTTGGAACTCAGCTAATGGGCTCCCAATTCTTTGGGGTGTGGAGGGGAGCCAAAGGGGTTGCCCATCTTTTTTTGGGTTGCCCCATTTTGAGGCAGACCCAGGGAGGAAGAGAGAGAGAGAGAGAGCGAGAGAAAAAAAGAAGAAGAAACAAAAAAGCAAAGCCAACAAAGTTACACAAAAGAAGAGAAGCAAAACCATGCACTAAGATCTATCACCCAACTGTTGTGGCTCCTACCGCTACCGGGCTCAGTGCCTCAGTTTTTAGTTGTGTTTCCTGAGGCCATTTGTCTTTTCAGCTTAGGGCCCTTCAAATTGAGGCCTTTTGCGTATGCCTTCTGTTGCCGAAACAAATGCCAGCAACGCCACCAACAAATCCCCGGCTGAGTTCCTAGCGCATTGGCAGGACAGTGCTTCCGAATGGAAAAAAGGATTCTGGTATGCGCGCCTGCATAAGGCATTTCAGGTTCTTTTTTGGCGGAAGAGTTCTGCTTCAACTGCCTGTCTTGCGGGCGTGCAGGTCAGGCAGGTTCGTTGACGAAAGAGTCACGACAGTCTGACAAGCACACATTGCTGGCGGACGCGCGCATGAGCATAGGACAAACGCAGACCTGTGGTTAGGTCTTTGCCGGCTCGCAGTCAGCCGTTTTGGCCGAGGTACATGCCATTGCGACATGAAGCATGGGCAAGCCTGTCGCGCTGTTTCGTTCCTCAACTCGGGACTGTTTTTTTCCGCCGGGCTGGCTGTGTTGAGTCTGACTAGCCTGATGATGCCAGACAAGAGTTAAGCCGTAGGTTGAGGTTTAACGTTGACAACCACACGATGCAGTGTATGCCTGTATGGGGTCATCTCAATCAGTCTCACTGGCACACGGGTGGTGCATACGAGGAAGCTCACATGTGCTTAGCCCCTTAGCCGCCTTAGCCCATGAGCATTCACACGTGAGCATCAACATGTTTGTCTTTCTGCTGGGTTCCTCCTTCAGAAAGCCTAAGACAGCCATAGCCATCGCCGAGCCTGAAGACAGCCATGTCTGGGAACAGGTTCGGTGCGGGTACCCGGCTTGTGTGTTTTGCAGGACAAATCGACCTTCCTTTCAGCGGAGGCTGACAATGGTTCCAGTAAGGATATGCATGTTGGAGGAAGGAGGCCTCTTCTTGAAACTTTTGCTGCATAGAGGAGCCTGGCTTCACTGGGACAACAAGTTGGGACAACAGACAGTGCTCAGGCCAGAAGAGAGCAAGACGCAGTCAAGAGAGACAGCAATACGCTTTCTGACGGGACTTGATCGATTGAAACCTTGCTGCCTTACTATCTTATGATGAATGATTTTCCCTTTATTTCCCTTTCTCTTTCTTTCACCTTATCTTTGTCATCTTAAAAATATTTGACAAGTAGATGAAAAAGGTGAGAGAAGTAACCAAAAGGAAAGGAATCAGGATAAAGATACCAAATGAAAGAAAATAAACACACTTTATAATCCTAATCAAATATGCTGTGTGTATTAATCCTATCCTTTCCATAAAGACACTTTTCTGTGGTTGGCCAGTGAGATGCCCATTGGCAAGCTGGGACCGGTGCCCTTTTTCGGCAAGAGCTCAGACCCCAGATGCCGCCGGTGTCCTTTTCTTTGGAGCTTTCCAAGTTCAAAGTCAGGGTAACCCCTACTCGGAGACTCGGTGGTTTGGATTGGTGGCTTGGATTTGGATTTGAACCTCTTGTTGAGGGATCCAAACCACCAATCGAACCACCAATTGGAGGGAAGCTAACCACAAGAATTGGGCCGTGATGCTCAGCATTTTGATTCAGAGAGGGCTTCTAGGATGTTGGCAGGTTCGGAAGGTAATCTAAGAAGCTCTTCGGTGAGGGCGTCCATGTCTTGCCAATGTGGCACGCTAGGCTACCAACGTGATGGTTGCTGACTGACTGTCCGCACGTCAAAGGGCCGGAGTTCGAGGGTTGCACACGGTTGTGAGGCGTCCCGAAAAATCTTCGCTCGATGTCACTACCCCAAAGTTGGGGCCTTGCGACCCGTCCACGGCGCCTCCGAGGCCGAAGAGGCTCCAACAACCAGGCAGGGGGCACCGCGTAAGAGAGTGACTGCACCCAAAAGACCCACCCGGTACCCCTAATTTTCCGCATGGGTGTCTCTTCTCGGGGACCCCTCCAAAATGGTGGTTTGCCTTGGTTTTCCTTTAAAGTACCCCAGAAACAAGCACCCTCAAAAAGAAGACACGACCCGCATTGGGTGTTTTGGATTGAGGTGGATTTCGAGTCACATTTGGGTTTATTTTGGATCCGACTTTCAGCAGCCTTGGCAAACCTCGTGCAGGAAGTGCAAACCGTCCCTGTGAGACCAGGCCTACTTGGTTGCTTCGAGGGGGACTACAGGGATACACACATGGTTGTTTGTTTGTTTTTTTTGGGGGGGACGCCATTTGGAGACAAGCCCATGCTCCCGTGGGCCGTTCACCAAGGTCACACCTTTGAAATCGCAAAGCCCAAGCCACAGTCCTTTCCCATTAATTTGCTCGTGCAAGTCCAGCAATAGGGAGCTCCACCTTTCCCAGGTTTGGCAGCATTTAGAAAAGCGCAGATTCATCTCAGTCTTGCATGCCAGGTTGAAAGTTGTCCTCGCGGCATTGCGAGAAAACGTCATGTACCAGCCATGTTGCGCACGTGTGCTTTACCAACCTCAAGCCTTTGCTTTCTCGTTGTGCTCACCGCGCAAAAATGCGCAAAAGTAAATGGAACAATGTCCGCGTGGTCTAGTCACCCCCTTTCTCGCCTTCACCCAGGTGTGTTTCGTGGCCCCCCCAAGTGCTGGCCAGGGGCAAGGCCGCAAAGCGACGCGCTTAGTGTGATCTCGCGGCTGTTTGGCCGTCACATGCATTGATGCGCCATAGGTTCTGTTGGATCCCCACCCTCTAAAGCCTGGAAATGGGCACAAGTAGAGGGTTCCATACTTGCAACTTGCGTGCAAGTGGGTTCCGCCTGATTCCGGAGCGAAGGAGTTGCGAGAAGCCATGATAAGCCACGCCATGCGCCATGGTCAAGAGACATGGTCATGGCCATGTCCAATACTCCTTTTTGCTGGCTGAGTAAAACCCAAAGGATTGACGACAACAGTTAACCCTCGCCAGGGAGACTGGAACAATGGAAACGCGGACCACCACCTCCCCCGCCTTAACTCTACGGCTATTGGGTTGGACCTTTAGACTTTAACTTTTTTGGATTCCCTTCATATTTCTTTTTAACCAGCAAACAGTTAAACTTTTTGCTGGGGGATCTGCAGCACCCAAGTTAAGGCTAAGGTAGCCGGGATTTTTGGGAATCCTCTTGGCCAGAGACTTCATGATTGATCCTCAGCCGCGACCTTGACGTGCGTGTAGCTACAAGACCGACCAAGGCATTGGATAAACGCGGGGGCAAGTCAGTCAAAAGGGAGTCCAAGAGTTATGCCCTTGGGGGCAAGTTTTGTGGAATGGCATCGTGCTTAGCTCCGGGCGCCTAATGTGCGTATGGTCGTGCATGTGCTTGTGATGGCAAGCTGTCACACGGTTTGTCAACTTCTTGTTGTTTTCAAATGCGGTGTCCAGTTTGATTTGTAAACAACGTAGTTGATATTTTGCCCAGGCGTGCAATTCAGGAATGTCGCAATTATTGCACGATATTTTCTCTGCAAAACTACACTTCAAGCCGCTGGCATGACGAACGCTTGTGGCTGTCGCACGTGTGTGGACACGGCTCTTGGTTGGAATTGCCACCGTCTCTCGACCCTTCGGGGTTTGCAGCAAGCAGTGACTCCCATGAGTGCCATTAGCATCCACGCAGATTGCTCTGACTGTTTAGCACCTGCGTGCAAGTCGTGCAACAGCTGCAGGCCTGGAATCAAAGTGAAGGCTGGTGGGGCAGTTCCGTGCCATTTGGCCCCTTGTCGAACACATGGCCACCTCAGTTGGCTACTGAAAGAAAGGCTGGTTCTTGATATCCCAGTTGTTGCTGCCTTATTTTGGGTTGTGGCTGTGGTTGGGGAACTTGCTATGTGCAAGGCCGGCTTTGGCTGTATTGGTGACACAGCCACTGCGCTTACCGGACAAGCATAGGCCGCTAGAGTGGAGTGGTCATTCAAGTTTCTAGATTAAAAAACACTACTTGTGCTCATGATTGGAATGTCCCCACGGTCCCACCCACTAAGTATTGCAG